AACTAGAATAAATCTGACAATGCTAACAGTTTGCAGAAGGCTTCTGGAAGGCAGTGCTTGAAGCAGGGGCTTTTGGTAATTTCCACTTCTTTGGTTCATAGGAGAACAGTACCAAACTGAAATAACACCCCCACTGCTCTAAATCAATGTTTTCCAAGCATCAGTTATTCCTGTATACTGCCACAATTTTTACTCCATGTAATTACAACCTGCTACTTAAACTTTTATTACTTTCCTTTTTACCTTACAAAGTTTTTCTTAAAAGGGAAACTTTAGCCTGGCTGGTGTAGCTCAATGGTTGAGCATTGACCCATGCACCAAGAAGTCACCAGTTTGATCCCCAGTCAGGGCACATGCCCAGGTTATGGCCTGATCCCCAGTGCGGGGCATGCCAGGAGGCAGCCAATTGATGTTCTTTCTCATCGATGTTTCTATCTCCCCCTCCCTTCCTCTCTCTCTAAAATCAATTAAAAAATTATTTTTTTGAAAAGGGAAACTTTATAACACAACTGTAAATAGAAATCTTACATCCCTTGCTGTATGTAGAAGGTAACTATAAAAATAAAACAAATAAAAAAGACAAAACAATGATTTAGCTAGATACAATTTACTGCCTGATAAAGGTAGCAGTAGCTGAAGAGAAATATGGTTAGACAGTTTGTTTGTTTGTTTTTAATCCTCACCCAAGGATATTTTTCTGTTGATTTTTAGATAGAGTGGGAGGGAGGGAAGGAGAGAGAGAAACATCGATATGAGAGAGACACATTGATTTGTTGTCTCCCGCACAACCCTAACTGGGGTCAGGGATCAAACCTGTAACTGAGGTTCATGCCCTTGACCAGGAATCAAACCCACAGCTCTTTGGTCTGCAGGCCGACGCTCTAACCACTGAACCAAACCAGCCAGGCTAGACAGTTTGTTTTCACAGGAGGCATTCTGAATTTTATGTTAAGTATAATGGAAAATCATTGAAGAATTTTGCCCTGGCTGGTTTGGCTCAGCGGTTAGAGCGTCAGCCTGCGGTCCCAAGAGACCCGGGTTCGGTTCCGCTAAGGGCGCATACCTCGGTTGCAGTTTGTTCCCAGCCCTGGTTGGTTGTGCAGGTGGCAGCCACTTGGTGTGTCCCTTTCACATCAATGTTTCTCTCTCTCTCTCTTCCTCTCTCCCCCACCCGCTCTGTCTGAACAAAAATTGGAAAAATGTCCTCGGATGAGGATTTAAAAAAAAAAAAGAAAAAAGAAAATCATTGAAGAATTTTAAACAGAAAGAGATATGGTCCGACTGGACAGTTTTTTTGTTTTGTTTTGTTTTTTTAATATCCTCACCAGAGGACATTTTTCCATTTTTTGTTCAGATAGAGTGGGAGGAAAAGAGAGAGAGAGAGAAACATCGATATGAAAGGGACACATCGAGTGGTTGCCACCCTCACGACCCAATCAGGGCCGGGGGCCAACTGCAACCGAGGTACATGCCCTTAGCGAGAACCAAACCCAAGGTCTCTCTGGACCACAGGCTGATGCTCTAACTGCTGAGCCATACTGGCCAGGGCCCGACTGGACAGTTTTAACAAACCTCTTTAAGGGATTAAAAACTAAATAAATAATGAGAAAAGACATAAAAGAACTGAACAAACGAACACCACCACTATCCACTTTTACCTAATTAACAATTATAAAACACTACACTCTATTGGGACCCTTTGCACTGTTGGTAGGAATGTGAAATGGTACAGTCGCTGTGATAAACAGTACAGTGATTCCTAAAAAAAAAAAATCAAAATAGGATTACCATATTATGATCCAGCAACTCCACTTCTGGGTATATACCCAAAAGAAATGAAAGCAGGGTCTCAAAGAAATATTTGTACAACTATGTTCATAGCAGCATTATTCACAAAAGCCAAAAGGTGAAAGCAACCCAAGTGTCAACAATGAATGAGTAAGTAAAATATGGTATATACATACAATGAAGTATTATTTAGTCTTAAAAAGGAGATTCTGACATATGCTACATCCTGAGGATATTATACGAAATCAAACAATACAGTCACAAAAAGACAAATACTATATAATTCCACTTAATGAGGTTCCTAAGAGAAGTCTAAATCATGGAGGCAGAAGGCAGAATGGTGGTTACTAGGGGCTGGGGGAGGAGAGAATGAGGGATTATTGTTTAATGGGTATAAATTTTCAGTTTTGTGAGATGAAAAGAGTTTGGGAAATTAATGGTGGTATTGATTGCACAACAATATGAAATTTACTTAATGTCAAACAATGTACACTTCAAAATGGTTAAGATGGTAAAATTTGATATCTATATTTTACCACAATTAAGAAACAAACCAACAAACACTACACCCAAAGGCTGCATATTTTGGCTTAAGCAACTGGGTGAATGATGATCTATTTACTGAGACAGAGCAGAATATAGCAGCTTTGGGTAGGAATTAAGCTTGATGCCAACTTGGCAATCAAAGATGTTAAGTGGGCAATCAAATATCTAAATCTAAAGTTTCAGAAAAAAAGTGAGGAATAGAATTACAGATTTGGATTTTTAAAAAAGGATACAAATACTTAACTTGGGGATTATTCACATATAAAAGGTACTCAAAATCACAGGACAGGAAGAGATCACCTAAGGCAAAGGTAAGGGAGTAATGAGTCAGCCTCAGAGCACTCCAACATTCAGAGTTAAAGCGGAGGGTGAAAAATCAAGATAATGAAGAGAATCACGCAGTGAGATAAAAACGGTGCTTTAAGCCCGGCCACTGTGGCTCAGTGGTTGAGCGTCGACCCATGTACCAATAGGCTGCTGGTGCAATTCCTGGTCAAGGCACATTACCCAGGTTGTGGGCCAAATACCCAGTGGGAGGCATGCAGGTGGGGGCCATCTGATATTCTTACTCACCGATGTTTCTCTCTCTCCCTCTCCCTTCCTCTCTCTCTAAAATCAATATAGAAAAAAAAATTATTTTTAAAAAAGCTTCTTTAAAAAATTGTCAGAGACCCAGACCCAGGCCCTATGTACTTGATACTAAGAGGTTAGGGCCAAATACATTTTTAAAAAATCTCCCTAGGCACCCTGGCCAGTTTTGCTCAGTGGCTAGAGCGTCAGCCCACGGACCAGAGAGATCCGGGTTCCGTTCCCACCAAGGGCACATACCTCAGTTGCAGTTTGTCCCCGGCCCCGGTTGGGGTCATGAAGGGTGGCAGCCAGTCAATGTGAGACACATCGATGTTTCTCTCTCTCTCTTCCTCCCTCTCTCCCTCCCGCTCTATCTGAAGATAAATGCAAAAATGTCCTCTGGTGAGGATAAAAAAAGAAAATCGCCCTAGGCTAGTTCAAAAGTCTGAATGTGAGAGATGTGAGGGGATGAAATGCACAGGAGTAGTGGGAGTGGAAGAAATATAATTGCGATATTTAAGACACCACCAACAAATAGGACTTGGTGACTGACTAGATGTGAGATGGAAAAGAGAGGAAATAAATGACATAATTGGTTTCTTTCTTAGGAAACAGGCAGGCCATTGCTGTCATTCAAACAAGTAATGCAAGACAGAAGGACAGAAACAAGAGTTTTTTGGTTGTTTTCATGGTGGTGGTGAGGGGGTGAGTATATATGTGTAGGGAGGAGGGCTAGAGAAGAGATAATGATAATTATGACAGACAACATTAAGTAATTAAGCACTTATTTGTCAGTGCTTTATATCTATTTTGGAGGCTGGGTATCCCTCTGCAAGGAACACTGCCATCAAAGACCAGAACAATTCATCTTTGAAAATTAAGGAGTTGAAGTAAGAGAGCCCAAAGTTACATAGATAGCTGGTAAGTAGCACAGAAGGACCTGAAATCTACATCTGATGAACTCCAAGCCAAAGTTTGAGATACCTGTGGGATACTAGTTAGGGATGTGGAAGTCATCAAGGCAGCTAAAGTCTTAGAAAGGATGTGATCACCCAAGGAGAGAACATACAAATCAATAAATTATTATTCATATATTTGACTAGTTCTTATGTTAAAATAGGTCCTTTCCTCTCCTATAAAATGAAGATAATACTTAATTTGTAGATAATGCCCACAGAGGGCAAGAATTTTATCAGTTTTTATATTCCTAGGTTTGCAATACCTGGAACAAGCTGACAGCAACAACGTTCGCTAAAGCTTTGAACAAAACAAAACAAAATAAAACCCCAAAACTTAATAACTAGCCAAAATTAGAAAAATACTACACAACATGAGAACCACTATTTCCTAACCAAAGTATAGCATAGCTTTTTCATTTCCTGTGTGCAGTATGTGACAAACTACAAATGCAGTTTTTCTGCACCATAAAGCCTGTTTTTTTAATTCTTCTGCTGTAAGTAGTAGAGAGGAGACAAAACTCAGTGAGACAGACACTCTGACCCACCACTGGGTGTGGATAAGGACTTTCTGGAATGACAATGTGACAGATTGTATCAAGAGCTTTAAAGCCCTAACTCAGTAATCTTATTTAGGAATGTATCCAAAGAAAACAATAAGATATGTGGTCAAAAAATTTTTACGTTGGAAGTAATAAAAAATATCCACCAACAGAAAAATTATTAAATAAGACATCACACATCCATTGGGTGGAATATCATATAAGGCTCTTAAATCAAGTTTTTGAAGAATATGTAAGGATACCAGAAAATGCTTTTGGTACGTATAATCAAAGAAGTAGGATATAAACTATACCTAGTATGACCATAATTTTGTGTTTATATGACAGCTCTCAGGTAGCTGGCAGGAAGGCAGCATCAAGGTTTATATGTATATGTAGTGTCGTGTGTGTGTGTGTGTGTGTGTGTTAATTATTACCTAGGAAAAACATTGGAATATACCAAAAATACTATACGTGTTTCCCTGGGTAGAAAGATTCCAGGAGATCCTAATATGTCTTTCAGTATTTCTAACATTTCTGCAAAAAGTACATTTTCATTTTTAAAAAAATGATAAAATAAAAGCAAGACAGCACTCACCTTCTTTCTTTTTCTAGAATTCTTTGTGGGATCAGGCTTCTCAAACTCTGCTGACTTTGCTTCTTCCTTCTCCTCATCCTCATCTGGAATCAGAGAGTACTTGGTCCCACCTGGTTGCATGAAACAATCCTTTGCAAAATGGCCTGCAGAAGAGAATTAGAAAAGGTGGCGAGGAAGAAGCAGCAGCAGGTGGATCTTCCCAGAGGCTCCCGGAGGGGCTAGCTGGTTCAGGAGGGATTGCTGAGTTCATTCAGAGCAACTATTGGATTCAGAGCAGATTTTCCGTCACCTCAAGATGGCCTTGCTCACGCCACCACAGCCAGACCAACAGCTGGTCCTAAAGCTGTGGGAAACACTGGCGCTGCTTTGGAAATGGCAGAGGATGTGAGGATGCAGGCTGGTGCTGCCTTCCATTAGCAATAAAGCTTAGTAATTTTTAAAGATCTATTTGGAACTTATTCTTAACAACAAAAGGCTGCTCCAGAGAGCAGAATGCTTAGCAGAGGGAGCCAAGTGGCAGGCCAGGGCCTTCAAGGAAGACAGCTCTTACGCAGCTGGCAGGAAGGCAGCATCAAAGTTAACACACAGAGAGGCGCAGTCACCTAGGGGCACTCAACATTCACAGACTGTCAGGTCTGGCAAGGGCCTCAGAGATCATCAAATCCAACGCTGCATTTGCAAAGGATATGAAGGACCAGAGTAGAGAAGTAGTGCAAGGTCACACAGACAGCAACAGAGGTAAACGTACCTGGGGTCCTGTGCCTCCCTGCCCTGCTCTCTTTCTGCTCCATTCAAACCAACCACCTTTGGCCCAGCCTTTGCTGACTGGGCCCAATTCCATCCCTCATTATTCTTCTCTGCCTCATGTAATACCTGGTGGACACAAGTTGAAGGTAAGAAGACCCTACTCTCCCTGAGCCTACTTACTGTGCTATCGAGGGCCCCTTTAACAGATGCTATAGAGCTGGTTTTTCTAAGCTTATTGTAGACCCCATCTCAGAGATACAGAGAACGGCATAAAACCATCAAAATCAGTATGTAAACTACTTTGTAACTTTTTTTAATCCTCACCCGAGGACTTTTTTTTTTGCACTTATCTTCAGATAGAGCAGGAGGGAAAGATGGAAGGGGAGAGGGAGAGAGAGAGAGAGAGAGAGAGAAAGAAACACGACATGAGAGAGACACATCGAGTGGTTGCCACCCACACAACCCTAACCGGGGCCAGGGACAAACTGCAACCAAGGTACGTGCCCTTAGCGGGAACCGAATCAGGGACTCTGGTCCGTGGGCCAATGCTATAACCACTGAGCCAAACCACTGAGCCAAACTGGCCAGGGCTACTTTGTAACTCTTGAGTCTAGAATCTGGATGGTGCCCGGAGGAGGAATACAGCAGAGAGTTTTCCAAATAGCTAGAATGCTCTCACTGTTCCCCTGAGGAAGTATTCTCTCTCAATTTTATTTTTCCTTCCTTCCTCTACATTAATGATAAAAACGGGCTTAAACCCCACAACCTCAACCAGGACACAAATATGCTACCAGCTGTTGTAGAAAAGGCAACAAGGCTAGGTAGATGAAAGGCTAAGGCAAGGTGGTAACAAATCGAGGTCACTCTGAAAGTGAGAAGTTGGCAATCCTTCTCATTACAGCTCCAACAAGGAAGTCAGGCTGAAAGAGCTCTTTAATATTTGAGTAACACTAGAGGAAACCTGAGGAAACAGAGCTAAAAGGAAATGACTAGCGTGTGTTCTTTATTACTAAAAGGATACTGTATGCATTCAGAACTCTCAAGTTAAAGAGATGAGCAAGAAAGGGTTTAACTTGGATCCTTAAGGAATACTTTCTAAGTTGCTTAATTCTTACAGCAGAACAATAATGGTTCTTGAAGATGAAATTTAGAGTGTTCATCATACTACAACACTCTTACCTTCCTGGCGCAGTACCTGGGGCCTTGCCCAGGTAGGGCATCAGCTACAGAGGTGGGAGGAGAGTTGGTGATAGTATATATAGCAACATCACCAGGGCCAGCAGCAGGACTAGCATTCAGAAAAGGAAACAGAAAAAGCAGCAAGCCATGAACTCTGATGTAAGTCTAGTAGGAACACCAGCAGCATGAGCAAGTAAGGTCATCACTTGGCTTAAAAACAGGGTGATCAATGTTTCTCTCACTGATGTTTCTCTCTCTCTCCCTCCTATTACATTGCTCGCTCTTCTATTATAAACTCACGGTTGCTCATCCAGTAAAGGGTCCGCCCACAGGAGAGAAAGACTGAAATGGCAGAGGCTTCACCTTACCTTTACAGCCACACTTCTTGCAGGTAGTGTTCAGGACAGCCTCGAGGGTGATCTTCTGCCCAGTGTAATCCTGGAAGGACCGCCTCCGCCTCTCTTCTTGCCTGTAATGAAAAGGATACTGTGGCTGTTGGCCTTCTTTTTTTTTTTTTTTTTTTTTTAAATCCTCACCCAAGAACATTTTTTTTATCCTCACCCGAGGACATTTTTCCATTTTTTGTTCAGATAGAGTGGGAGAGAGAGAGAGAGAGAAACATCAATGTGAAAGGGACACATCGAGTGACTGCTACCCACATGACCCAACCAGGGCCGGGGACAAACTGCAACCAAGGTACATGCCTTTAGCAGGAACCCAACCCAGATCTCTTCGGACCGCAGGCCGACGCTCTAACCGCTGAGACAAACCGGCCAGGGCGAGGACATTTTTTGTTCAGATAGAGTGGGAGGGAGAGAGAGAGAGAGAGAAACATCGATGTGAAAGGGACACATCGAGTGGCTGCCACCCACACAACCGACCAGGGCCGGGGACAAACTGCAACCGAGGTACGTGCCCTTAGCGGGAACCGAACCCGAGTCTCTCTGGACAGCAGGCCGACGCTCTAACCACTGAGAAACCGGCCAGGGTTCTGTTGCCTTTTTTTAAGAGATGTGGCCAGAGATACAAGGTAATGCTGTATGTTGATTTTTTTGTTTTGCTTTTGGCAGGTAGAAGGGAGAAAGAAGAAAAAGTGCTGGTCATAGGAGAAGTGGTGTAAAGCAGTGGTGTAAAATAGGCAATTCTTTTCATTCAGGACAAGGTTCTGAATTAATAACTGAATAAAACTAGACTTCATCTCATTTATGCACAGAGGATAGAGATATAATTACTCACCTTGCTAAGTCCCCTACAACCCTTACAAGGTTATTGCTGGGTTTAAAAGACCTTCCAAGACTTCCTGAAATATCAAGTAAAAATTCCCTACTTGGCATTCAAGCCCTTTCACAGTCTGCCTCTAACCTCTTCCAGCCTCATCTTTACTTGTGCAATATGCTGTAATCAAACCAGACTATTTTACCTTCTCCAGATGGCTCACTGCTTTGGCTCAGGCAGCTTTCTCTCTGAAATGCTCTGCTTCGCCTCTTTACTCTCACCTCACCACCTCACTGCACCCAAACACTGCAGGGCTCAGCTGAATTACCACCTCTCTTGTCAAGTCTTCTTCCCTGAGCCCCTCAGCCAAAATTAATCTCTTTGTTCACATTCCCATGGCACATGTAAAAATTCTAAACTTTTGGTCCAGCTGGTGTGGCTCAGTTGGTTGAGCACCATCCCATGCACCTAGAGGTTGCTAGTTCGATTCCTAGTCAGGGAACATGCCTGGGTTTCAGGCCCAGTCCCTGGTTGGGTACATGGGGGAGGCAGCCGATCAACGTTTTTCTCTCATTGATGTTTCTATCTCTCCCTCTCCCTCTCTCTTAAAAAAAAAAAAAAAAATTTAAACTTTTGACCAAGGTATAATATACATAAAGAAAAGTGTTGATATCATACAGCTTGACTGATGTTCACAATCTGAACCTACTCAAGTAACCAGTACTCAAATAAAGCAACAGAACATTACCAGCACCTCAGAAGCCCCTCTAGTTACCATGCCTTCCCATGGTAACCACTATTCTAATTTCTAACAGCACAGATTAGTTTTACCTATTTTTAAAATTATATAAATAAAATCGTAAAGTATGGACCCTACTGTGTCCGTTTTTTTTCACTTGTTTGTGAGATCCATCCATATTGTTGTTTGTAGTTTGTTCTAATTTGCTGTTAATGTAAAGTATTTGAGTAATTTCTATTATAAAAAGTGCTTCTGTGAACTTTCTACCACATGTGTTTGGGTGAACATATATATGCTTTTCTACTGGGAAATGCCCAGCTCCAGGTAGGAGCGGAACTACTAGGTTGCAGGGCATCAGCGTTAGCAGACACTGCCAGACAGTTTTCCACCGTGTGTTTAACAGTAACACTCCTACTAGCAGAGCCTAAGCGCCCCAGCTGTCTTAGCTCCCATTTTTAACCTTTACTATAACACACAATACCTACACTTAAAAATGTATTAAGTTCATAGATCTCATGTTAAGTATTCTCACCACAACAAAATAAAATAAAATACAACAAAATAAAATAAAATACCAGGGCAGGATCTTGGGGACATAACTTGGGCAGTCACAAACACCATGGCTTTCAGATGTCCTTATTTGTAGGGCTACATTTCAAGTGGCTGTGGGTTGCAGCTTAAGCAAACCCTCATTGTAGTCAATTTCAATACTCTGTGGGCTCTGACATTCTAAAAGCCATTATACCTCCCACCTAACACTCAGTTCAACAAATGTGTCACTCACCACGTATCCCTTTTTGTCCTCACTGCCATCAAGCCAGATAGGCTTCATTACACTTCACCTAAACAGTAACAATTCCTTCACTGGTCTCCCTCCTTCCAATTTTCCTCCTCCAATCCATCCAGCACACATAGTTGGATTAACCTTTCTTTTTTCAGTTCACCTAGTAAGTGGCAAGCACAGGTGCTAGTACTAGTAATATGAGTAAATATATTAAAATGACAGGACCTGGTCCTTTTCCTCAGAGTTTATAGTCTAGCAGCCAAGGGAAACATAAACAGACAATAATATGTGGTGAATCATAAATGTTCTTTCTAAAGACTGTACTATGCTAACCTAATTGAAAACTGACTTTATCCCTTTCTATTTGCAGAATCACTTTTTAGATAACCTTGTTAATTCTGTGGGACCTCAGGGACTGAAATATAAGTAGATTTTTATGAAAAATGAAAGGTAGTTGACAAACTGGGTGGCTAAAGATAGCATGAAGATATTGAGCAAAACAGGGCAAGGCCAGAGAATGGGATGCCTGGAAAGAATAATCTGATTAGGAGCCTTTCCCACTCAAAGGCTTTAAACGAAATTCATTCTTTTTTTTTTAATTATTGATTTTTATTTTTTTTATCCTCACCCGAGGACATTTTTGCATTTGTCTTCAGACAGAACACGAGGGAGAGAGGGAGGAAGAGAGACAGAGAAACATCGATGTGAGAGAGACACATTGACTGATTGCCACCCACATGACCCCACCGGGGCTGGGGACAAACTGCAACCGAGGTACATGACCCTAGCAGAAACTGAACCCGGGACTCTCTGATACACGGGTTGACACTCTAACTGCTAAGCCAAACTGGCCAGGGTTATTATTGATTTTTAGAGAGAGAGAGGAAAGGAGAGGGAGAGAAAGAAACATCAATATGAGAAACAAAGTTCACATTCTTTGATACCCAAAGCTCTCCACAACCTGACCCCAACATATCTTTCAAGGTTTACATTCTCGTACTTGCCCATGCCCTCTTCTCTCCTTAAACAAGACTCCTGAATGTGCCATGTGCTTTTCTGCCTCAAGTCTTTCATCAAACCATTTACTCTGCCCAGAATGCCATATATTCCCCTGCTGCCTGACAAAATCTAATCCGTTCTTAAAGACCTAGCTCAAATGCCACTTCTTCTCTGATTATCAGGGCCTAAATCAATTCTTCCCCTTCAAGCTAATTCCTAGAATCTTTTCTTTCTTTTTTTAAATCCTTGCCTGATGACATGTTCATTATTTTTTTTTATCCTCACCTGAGGACATTTTTTTGCATTTATTTTCAGATAGAGCGGGAGGGAGAGATGGAGGAAAAGAGAGAGAGAGAGAGAAACACGATGTGAGAGAGACACCACGACTGGCTGCCACCCGCAATACCACAACCCGGGCTGGGAACGAACCACAACCTCGGTATTGTGCCCTTAGCAGGAACCGAACCCAGGACTCTCGGGTCTGTGGGCCGACACTCTAACCACTGAGCCAAACTGGCCAGGGCTGTTCATTGATTTTCTAAAGAGAGGGGAACGGGCCCTAGCCAGTTTGGCTCAGCAGTTAGAGCATCGGCCCGTGGACCAGAGAGACCGGGATTCATTTCCCGCTAAGGGCATGTACCTCGGTTGCAGTTTGTCCTCAGCCCCAGTTGGGGTTGTGTGGGTGGCAGCCAGTCAATGTTTCTCTCTCTTCCTTCCTCTCTCCCTCCTGCTCTATCTGAAGATAAATGCAAAAATGTCCTTAGGTGAGGATAAAATAAAAATTAAAATAAAAAAAAAAGAGAGAGGGAGGGAGGGAGGAAAGAAGGGACAGAGAGGGGTGGGTGGGGAGAGGGAGATAAAAAGAGGGGGAGAGGGGAGCGGGGAAAGACGAGGAGAAGGGGCGGGGGGGGGATTGGTTGCCTCCAACCAGGGATCAAACCTGCAACCTAGGTATGTGCCCTGACTGGGAATCCAACCTGTGACCTTTTGGTATGATGCGCCAACCAACCGAGCCACACTGTCAGGGCTAGAATCCTTTCTTTAAACCACTCTTTTAGCATTTATTACATGTTGCCTTATATTAAAGTTACTTGCATAATTATTTCATTCCATTAGGCAGTAAGGTCCTTAGGCAGAAACCTTGGTATTGCCATTGTACTTCAAACAGAATATAAACCCAATAAACACTTGTGGAATAAAGGAATAAATGGGCACACTAACTAAAGTTAAGATGTAGCCCATTTTCTCATGGGTCTTATATATTCTTTCAAAAGAAAAGATATGATTATCTCAGATATTAGAAAAACAGAGACTTTAAAACAATAACTACAAGTAGCTATTATAAATTAAGTTTCTACTACTGACTCTTCACAAACGAGATTTTATTTCAATCATCCTGTCATTTCTGCGATGTAGGTGTCATTACCTCCATTTCACAGTGAAGATGTTATGGTTCAGAGGCTAGGTAACTGCTCAAAGTCATACTACTCTGGGGCAGGACTAGGACTTTTTCCGACTTAAGTCTAACTCTAAAACCTGTCATCATTCCACTGTGCCATGCTTCTTTTCTCGATGCAGCCTTAAAAATAGTTTACAACAAAAGTTACTGTTCAGCCACTTGGTTATTACCAGAAATAGTCTATACATGGAAACACATTCACAGTAAACCCAGGGAGCCTTTTCCCTTCCCTACCTTTGTTTTGAGAAAGAGAAGGTGCTCTTTTATCTTACTTGTTTTCGTACTATACCTTTTCAAGGGTGGCTTTTTAATGAGTCTGCATGGCATAGAATTATTTGGAGCAGAAGTAATGTATTACAATGCAATCGGTAAGTGCCAGAATGAAATAATATTCCTGGGCTGAGTTATAAAAGATTCCTATTGTAAATGGAAAGTGTTTTGTCAATAATCAGCCCTACAAACATGTCAATATTTAGAGACTAAACTACAGATATATTAAAAACCCTGTAAGTCACGTGCAACAGCTAGAAGCATCATGTGATGAAAGGGGCATTAGCTTTAATGTCAGGGAGACCAAGATTAAAGATCCTATAATTTGCTATAAAACTGCAGGCAAGTTATTACCAAACATCAACCTAGAAACTAAGGATATAAAGTAAAATGGACAGAACACCTACTTTGCAAATGTTAAGAAAATCAGATGAACTATTGTGCACAAACTGCCTTGCATAATACCTAGCACATAGTATGTATCCAATAAATATCACTTCCCTTCCTTCCTTTTAGGTAAAATGCTTCATATCCAAAGTGATTTCACTGAGAACAATAAATGTAGGGTTTTCAAACTTTTCACCATCAAGATCCCACTCAAACAACATTTTTTCCTTGCTTTTAAAAAATTAATCAATAATATAACTGCCACTGAGAGCACCTGATTAGCATGAGATTAATGTGATATTTTATCATTGAAAGCAACAAAATAATTTCATAATTATGAGGATAGACATGATTTTGGTTGTCTTTTTGAAACATGGAAAACAGTTCATAAACCCTCAAGATTCCTTTTCAAGGGATTTTAGGGATCTAGGAACCCCTGGTTAGAAATCACTGGCATATAGTCAAGAAATACTGTGAGACAGATGGTAAATTCCCTGTATCACCAGACACTATCCTATATAAACAGAAAATCTTCCACTCCTAAATTAAAGGTCAGAAGAGCCAATGACAGTAAAGTGTTGTGTTCAGAATACAGTGTATCTCAAGATACAGGCATCTAAACCCCACTAGAGTTGCTCCAAGATTGCCCTACCCTCGAATTTGGTATTTTCCTTTTTCAGTCCCAGTGCTAGGAGAATGGCAAATAACAAGTACTTCATGAATGTTTGTTGGCTGACTGGTTAAAGGGCAGAAGCAGAAAAAAAGTTAGGAGAAAGAAACAAAACCAACAATGGAGCAATTCTGTGCTAGGAGGTTTGCATGTTAGAAGTGTTATAAGCAGAAAAAAAGTTAGGAGAAAGAAACAAAACCAACAATGGAGCAATTCTGTGCTAGGAGGTTTGCATGTTAGAAGTGTTATCTAGAACACTTATACCTCTACAAACCAAAGATCATAGAGGTTATATAACTCATCAATATCACAGTCTATAAATGGCAGGGTTTCTAGGTCAGCCTGATTCACTACAGCATTCTGCGATTTGAGGTAGAAGAATTTTAGTCTTTCCAAACCTTTTACCTACTCAATGATAACATTGTTGGGGTCGAGGTCTTTCCCAGTCCCTTGGTTGACAACTTTCATGGAGAGGGATACTTTTATCCTATCATTTTTCATCTGAAAAAGACAAAAGCAAAGTCACCAAAAGCTCAAAGTACATAATTTAGACTGCTGACCTAGAATTATCTAAGAATCAGTTTTTGTCATCATAACAAACACTGAACTCCTCCTCTAACCAAGGTCTGGTGCTAACAAGCATAATAGGCAGATCCTGTGGCAAAAGAATTTTAGGAAATGGTTTCCATCTTATTGGGGGGAAAGAGAAAAATGATTTTTCAGAAATTTAAAGCCTGTCGAAGTAGCCCAGCAGAAAAGCTGTTCCTTCTAAGTTCAACATAATGATCAATGCAGAGACCAAGGAGCCCAGAATGGGTTTTAGAACATTCCAGTAGGATAGATCTCCTTTTGGACTTGGTCTAGAGCCTCCACAAACATGAAGACAATTGTTGGCCACATTAGTCTTCTTTTGCCTCCTCCAGCGCTTGAAGCTCTTCTTCATTTCAGGGTCTTTGCACCAGCCATTCTCTGCCTAGAATATTCTTAACCCAACTTTTCATACTGCCTTTTCCTTTGGGTTCCAGCTCATATACTATTTCCTCACAAAGCCTGTTCGTAGTGACTTATCTAAATCTACCTCTGATATTGTTTGAACCTATTACAGCACTTACCACAATTTTTAATTATTTTAAATTGTTTAGTTTTTGTCTCCTCCAGTTATAATCTATATAAGCTCCACAATAGCTGGGGTCATTTATGTCTGTTTTCCTCTTGTATCCCTCAGACCTAGTGCATATTAAGCTCTCAAATATTGTTGAAGAATCTGTCTTTCAGGCTGTCTCCTCTACCATTCTCTGGCAGAAAAGCAGGCCTCAGAGTATGTTCATATTTATCCTGTGGTCTGCCCACACCCACAGTCCCCACACCCTCAAGTGAGCTGGTAACAGAGTCCTTCAGCGCTTTCTCACTCCCCTCATGTTGCCATAGGAAAAGTGACTGTAAATTCTATGTCCTTTCTGTTTTGGTCCAAATTGAAGTGCACCTGGCAAGAATTCTTTAAAGTTTGTGACGAAGACTATTAAAGACTAGTCCCATAAATCACGTGCCCTTCTCTCCTTTTAGTTCTTTAGTTTTGGGTGTTTTTGTTTTTTTAACATCCACTATTTGGGTATACTTCAAGGAGGGAACTTTCATAAACATGTACTGTTGCACCACACTTATTGTAGTTCCTTCTGAATTTGCAGGAGAACCACCCAGTAGGTTTACATTCAGATCAGATTATGGTGGAAGGATTAAAAATAAGATTCTCTGCCACAGCTAACAACATATACACACTCACCATCTTAAATACCAAGAACCCCAGCTTTCCCTAATCCTTTCTAACCGATGAAGGTTGTACAGAACTTTACCTCTCGGCCAATAAGCTTCACCCATACTTTGTCTCCAACATCTACTATTTCAGAAGGCTTATCCACACGACAGGATGACATGTGAGTTCGATGGACCAGACCTGGGCACAAGAAAAAAAAATTAAATAAAGCACAAGGTATATCTGCTGTTATATCTATGTCTGGTGTTTGTACTCTAAATAGCAAGGTAACAAGATGGAAGTTGGGAATTCACTGAATATATGTTCATTCGTTTAAAACTGCAAATTAAAACTATTTGAGGTAACTTTTTACACCTAATAAGCTAATAAATATTCTTTAAAATAATGCTCAATGTTAGTAAAATGTGATACAATAATTATATAATATAGTAAAAATATAAATTGATAACATTCTTTAAAGCAAAGGGCATAAAGATGTTTATACCTTTGATGTAAAAATATTATCATTGAAATTTTTCCAAAAGAAAAAAATATATATTTTTATATGGGCATATAAAAATACTTGCAGTATTTAACCTAGAAAGGTTAAATATAAAAATTATAAAATAACAATACCCAAAGTTGATGAGAGTATAGTTAAATAAGAAATATTGCTAGGGCTAGTATAAAGTTTTAGAAATCATTTAACAATGACTATCAAGAATGATAAAGTATTTAATAAAATTATTTGAAAATAATAAAAAAAAGTAATAATCATTAAGTAACTTAATGACACAATAAAGTATTTAGAACAGATATCTTTTTCCTGTCTGCCCACGATCCTTTCCTGAGAGAACTCTTCATTACATTCTAAAGTAATCTGGGTCAATTCATGTGATTTGGTTAGAGTTCACCTAAACTCCAACTGTGGGCACATGACACAGGCTTAGTCAATCAAGATACTTCATGTCCTGGCCAAGTAGCTCAGTTGATTAGAGCACTGTTCCAATATGCCAAGGTTATGGGTTCGATCCCAGTCAGGGCACATACAAGAATCAACCGACGAATGAATGCATAAATAAATAGAACAAATCAATGTCTCTCTCTCTCTCTGTCAAAGTTAAAAAAGGAGGATGTCACACCCCTGGTCACAGCAATTCATTGGTTCAGGGACAGAAACAAGACATTAGCTAAATCACATACTCTGAATCAAATCTTTCTTAAGACTTTTGTCAGGATTATAAAGTTATTAATGCCCATCTTTACCACCAGGTGGCAAGAGTCAGTCAGAGGGAAGCAAAGAAGAGCATCAGTAATCAAGAGACAAAGCCCTGGAGGCGTAAACTGAACACTTGCTACAGCCCTGGTGGAAGATAGATTTATCCTGCACTTCCCAGCAAAATTACCAAAACATTTCTCAACTGTGTTACTGTCCCTTGCATCAAGGGTTCTAATAATTAATTTGACATATAATCACTTCTGGGATTCTGTCCTAAGAAAATAATTTCATAGATAGAAAACGCTATATGCATCTGGGGAAGCAATCTACATCAAAATATGCAATGCATTTTTAAGTCAGAAAAAATCAGAAACAACCTAATATCCAACAATAAGGTAATGAAAAATGAACTATAGCATAGCCACTGGATGGTCCATTAAAAACAATATTCAAAAGATTACATAAAAATATGTCAATCATGCCCTGGCGGGTTTGGCTGCGCCAAAGAGTCATGGGTTCAATTCGGTCAAAGGCACGTACCTCGGTTGCAGTTTGGTCCCCGGCCTTGGTCGGGGTCATGTGGGAGGCAACCAATCGATATGTGTGTGTGTGTGTGTGTGTCTCTCTCTCTCTCTCTCTCTCCCTTCCATTCTGACTGAAGATAAATGAAAAAATATCCTCGGGTGAGGATTTAAAAAAAAATACACACACACACACACACATATGTATATATTTCAATCATTCATTTTTAATAAATATTTATTAAGTGCCTACTACGCACCAAGGAAGTAGCATTTTTCCATGTAAATAACAAAATACAATGTAAAATTGTATAATATGATTATGAGTGCTTAAAACACATTTTAAAAATTACAAATGATCCCAAATACTATAGCAATGTTTAAATTAAGGTATAGAATTATAGGTTTTATCTTTTGTTCATTTTCAAATGTTTTAATCATAGAGAAAACTATCTATTCTGAGGGAAATATAATTAACGATTATGAATGAATATGAACCAGGAATCAAACTAAAGAAAAAAACTGAAAGATCAAACAAAGATTTATATCTAAAATAACCACCCTCCTTGAAGTTCCTTAGGAAAAGTAACGTTTATTCTCTTTCTTTCGCTCTCTCTCTCACACACAGGTGCGTTCACAGACATCAGCACATTTCTGTTTGGAGCCACGGCTTTCTCTGACCATGGTCACTGGGCCTCACAAACCTACTTCAGCTGACTCTGGAGGCTGATAGTCTACCTCTCTGAATAGCTGTGGGGCCTCCAAAGTGTTTTATATACCCCACATTTTAAATTTTAGACCATCACATAATCTCCAAATTGGGTACATTTCAAGGAGTTGGGGTTTTTTTCCTACCATACAATGATGTAATGAGCAGACCAGCCTAACTTAAAAGTCTGGAGAGGAAATTCAAATGCCCTAGAGCAGCGGTTCTCAACTTGTGGGTCGCAACCCCTTTGGGGGTCGAACAACCCTTTCACAGGGGTCACCTAAGAGCATCAGAAAACACATATTTCCGATGGCGATTCCTAACAGTAGTAAAATTACGGTTATGAAGTAGCAACAAAAATAATTTTATGCTTGGGGGTCACCACAACATGAGGAACTGCATTAAAGGGTCGCAGCATTAGGAAGATTGAGGACCACTGCCCTAGAGGAAAGAGAAACCTGTCACTTTGACATGTTTTGGCTGCAACAGTCCTCTAATTCTAAAATTCACTTCTTTCCTCGATTGCTAATGAAAGTTGTGAAGGAAATTAATGTTGAACGTAATTATTTGAGAACATCTTTTTTCTTTCCTGAAACTGAAGATCTATTTACTGGAGTAGCAAAAACAAAGAAACAATAGCAATGACCATTTGTCCTCCTGCCACCTGATTCCAAGATTATTTTTTGGTCCAGTAACCTCTCCTGGTTAAATATGGCACTTCTCGCCCTGCCTGGTTTTGCTCAGTGGTTAGAGCACTGGCCCGTGGACCAGAGAGACTGGGTTCAGTTCCCGCTAAGCACGTACCTCGGTTGCAGTTTGTTCCCAACCCTGGATGGAGTTGTGTGGGTGGCAACCATTCAATGTGTCTCTCTCATATCGATGTCTCTCTCTCTCTCTCTCTCTCTTCCTCCCTCTCTCCGTCCCGCTCTATCTGAAGATAAATGCAAAAATGTCCTCGGGTGAGGATTAAAATAAATATGGCACTTCTCAAAGTATTAAATATTGAAAAATTGGAAATCAAACAATCATGTGGTATATCTGAATAAAATAATTCCATTAAAACTTTTTTTGGAAGTATTTTAAGCCCTGGCTGATGTGGCTCAATTGGTTGGGCATTGTACTGTGCACCAAAAGGTTGCAGGTTTGATTCCCAGTCAGGGAATTCCCAGTAGGGGGCATGCAGGAGGCAATGTTACACTCTCTCTCCCTGTCTCTTCCTCCCTCTCTAAAAATCAATAAACTATTCTTTTTTTTTTTCCTTTATAGATTTTAGAGAGAGAGGAAGTGAAAGGGAAAGAGATAGAAACATCAATGAGAGAGAACATTGACTAACTGCCTCCTGCATACCCCCCACTGGGGATTGGGCCCACAACCTGGGCATGTGTCCTGGCCAGGAATCGAACCAGGAACCTCTTGGTACATGGGTCGATGCTCAACCACTGAGCCACACTGGCCGGACAATAAACTATTCTTTAAAAAGCATTTTAAAAGATGTAGAAATGTTATGGTTCATTAAGTATAAAGATCTACAAAATGGCCCTGGCCGGTTTGGCTCAGGGGTTAGAGTGTCGGCCCACGGACCAGAGAGTCCCGAGTTCAGTTCCCACTAAGGGCATGTACCTTGGTTGCAGTTTGACCCCGGCCCTGTTTGGGGTCGTGTGGGTGGCAGCCACTCAATGTATCTCTCTCACATTGATGTTTCTCTCTCTCTCTTCCTCCCTCTCTCCTTCCCGCTCTATCTGAAGATAAACGCAAAAGTGTCCTCAGGTGATAAAAAAAAAAAAAAAAAAGATCTACAAAATGAATAGAGTATGATCTTAATCTCAATGTTAAATTGTAGGTACATATGTAACTATAAAAAATCACATCAAAATGTTAACAGGGCCCTGGCCGGTTTGGCTCAGTGGTTGGAGCATCGGCCTGTGGTACAGAGAGACCCGGGTTCGGTTCCCGCTAAGGGCACGTACCTCTGTTGCAGTTTGTCCCCCGGCCCTGGTTGGTCGTGTGGGTGGCAGCCACTCGATGTGTCCCTTCACATTGATGTTTCTCTCTCTGTTCCTCTCTCTCCCTCCCGCTCTATCTGAACAAAAAATGTCCTCGGGTAAGGATTAAAAAAAAAAAAAAAAAAAAAAATGTTAACAGGGCCTATCTCTGTATGGTTGTAATATCATAGAATGATCATTTTCTTTTGTAGATATTTCCCCTTATTTTTCTATAATAAGCATGCAATCATAAAAATATTTTAATCATAAAAAATGATAGGTATACTATAATTAAAATTACATAAAGCTATGTTTCATATGAACACAGATAAAAGAAAATATAAAAATAGTTATACTAGGATGTAGGGTTTTTATACTTGAGACAGTAATGGCTTACTGTGAACAGGCCTTAGCTTACAGGGTGAATTAAACAAGAGAAATGGTGAAGCCCCCCCGTTTTTAATACAAATGTCAGGTACGCAATCCAAGTCTGGAGCTCAGAGAGGGGTATGAATTGGAGATATAAATGTAGGAGTCTTCAGCATGCAGATGCTTATACACTAAAATATTAACCAGACTGTCAATTTAGAGATTGGTTCAGGGACAGACAGAATTCACCAATTTACTAATTTACAATAGAGGATATTCTCTTCTTATTTTTGGAAGGTTCCCAGCCCTTATCTAGGTAAACTACCCACTGCCAGGTAAACTACCCACTGCCCAGTGTCAAATACCGGAAAAATTAGATTCATGATCGGAAACTGCTTCAA